CGTTCAAACCTGTGTTAGACTGAGAGAAGCTTCCAGACTGTTTGAGATTCACTGACTTGCTTATTTTTCATTTTTTTATTGTGCTTTATTTTTTAAAGCCAGTGTAGAAGAGGGTGAGCAAGTATTTGACGTCTAAAATGATGCCACAGTACGCGACTAACTGAAGAGCGACTCACAAATGACATCAAGCGCTCGTGAATCTTGAATGTTGTCTTTGCTTTCGCAGGCTGTCCCATGTCAGCGTGGAGTGTTTGGTCTCCGTGTTCCTGTGCGTCCCAGAGGCAGCAGCGTTACCGTGTAGCGCTCTCGTCGCCCACCAGGGGTCAACAGTGCACTCCTGTGGAGACGCAGAGCCGGGCGTGCGGTCTCAGCCGCTGTGATGGTGAGTTCATTACCCTCAGAGCTGCTTAAGGTGCACTCTGGTCCTACACCTCTTCGTGTGTTTCCCTGCTAGACGTCTGCGAAGCCCCGTTTGTGTACTCGCCGTGTGGCGCTCCCTGTGAGAAGCAGTGTGAACTGCTCGGCCGTGAAGATCTGTGTGTGGGCGTCAGCGAGTGCACACCTGGCTGTTACTGTCCACAGGTGAGTTTAATGAACGCTGCTGAGTTTAATTATGATTTATGGACATTAACAGGAGGATACAGTAAGACGCACGTTGCCTTTGGAGGTTTTGCTTTGATTTCTGCTCATTAAGAACAAATATGATTACAGATAATGCAGCACATTTGCCTGAAGTATGAATTCTACATTGATGTTACTTCTGCATCTAAATGCGTGATTTGAGAGCAACACAGGACAGATGTGCTGCACTTTATGACCAAGACAAAGATCCGATCGCTGCGCTGTTTCCTCTTTTTTCTGAGATGTGTTTTTCCTTGCAGGGCCTGCTGCAGTATAACGGGAGCTGTGTTCCTCCAGAGGAATGTGGCTGCATCCACCTGCAGCACCAGGCTGCAGGAGATCCACCCACACCTGTCACCGTCCCACAGGGCGCCACGGTCACCATAGGCTGCAGCACCTGGTCAGTTTTCTCTATCAGCCCCTGTTGCACCACAGTGTTGTCGTCACTCTGCTCTTTCTTTGTAATTCCCAGCTTGTTTGTGCAGTTTGTCTGATTGTTATTACTGTCCGTGTTGTTGCTTCTCTGTCCTCCAGTCTTTGTCACGACGGCAGTTTGCAGTGCGACACGAGAGAATGTGAAGGTAAGAGAGCAGAGGAATAAAACGAGGCTCTCTGCAAACACGGTGAACCTGAACCTTTCTTCCTCTCCGTCGTTCAGTCGTCCTCAGCGAGTGGTCGGCCTGGACTCGGTGCTCTCCCTGCGTGCTGCAGCACAACAGCTCGCAGATGGTGTCGATCCAGAGGCGCTTTCGAGCCTGTTTGGACCTGGATTCTGGTCTTCCAGTCTCTAAAGAGGAGGAGAGCCAGTGTCCAGGACTGCTGGTGGAGGAGAGGCCATGTCCAGATGCTAACATCTGTAGAGGTAACAAAGATGCTCACACCGAGAGTATTCAGTCGTCTTATTGGCCAGATGTCACTGAGGAGAGCAACAAAAGTAAATGTTCTGTGTTATGTTAGCGATTTTACTGCTATTGCAAACTCATACTGACCTTTGCAAGATTCTTTTAGGTCAAACTTGCACTGTGCACTTTGGATTGAGGTTGGATGACGTTCACACCATAAACAAACTGCACCTGCACCTCCTCCACAGGGTCTGGGTGTTTGTGGGCACCAGAAAACCAAAAGGACAGTTCTGCTCTGTCTGAGAGCCTCTCAGTAAAAGTTTGACACAGATTGCATGCAAACGCTGGGTGAATGAGTCAGGGCTCGACAAGCAGGACTCCAAAGAAAAGCATGAATTACACAGTTGGTCAGAGGGTGATGAAACGACCGCAGCGTGGTTTTCTCTGCAAAGGAAAGGGGGGCAATTGTGTTTTGAAATAAATGCATGCACTTCAGAGTATATTCTTTTCATCTAAACAAAGACAGTTGGAGTCTTACACACAGCGAGGAATAAACGGCTGCAGACCCCGATAATGTCCAAGTCATGAACTGTTTCAGTTTATTAAATAAATGTCGTTTTGGATCCAGTGACGAGAGTGATGTCATTCTGACACGTGGAGTCTCTGAGGGAAATTGTTTACGGTGTGTCAGTCACAGCTGCCATCAGCAGACAGTTAAGAGGCCTTAATCAGTGCAAAATGGGCTTTTCCTGCTGTTTTGACTCATTTTACTCCCCAGAGGAGAAAAAAGGGACAGGTTAATGCTCATGTGTGGTTAGGTTTGTGCAAACGATGATTCAGCTCAAATTTAACTCTGTCATCATCTGAATGGCTGCTGTCCCAGCTTAGTTTGCATGTCAAACAGCTGAAGCTGGTACTTGGTCATAGAGTAAATACTGCTCAGCAAGAACAAACTAAACTGTGTCTCTTACATATAAATCATGCAGCAAATAAACACATTGTGTTTGTTGCTCTGTCGTCATCAAATGAAACACTTCAAGTTTCTGTATTTGTCACTGTCAGTCTGTATAACAGATAATACCAAGGTTAGCTTAGTTATGTCACTCTGCTCCCAGATGTGTGTCAGTGGAGTGGGTGGAGTGCTTGGACAGCGTGTGCTGAGCCGTGCAGCGGTGGAGTCAGGCAACGCTACAGACAGCCCCTGGCCTCTCCTGCAGGACCCCAGTGTAGGAGCCAAGAGACGCAGACCCAAGGATGCAACACGGCCCTCTGCCCAGGT